TTAATAGCAATGAAAATTACAAATATTGATTTTAAAACGAAAAGCCTGCATTCATGTATATACTAATTTTTCAAAATTAAAGAGGATAGAAATTGCAGATATTGTTTAAGATATATATGCCAAACGTATTAAATCATATTATAATGTGAAATAATAATAAAAATTACTAGGGTTGTGCCGATATTAAATATCGGATAGGATCGGTACCGATATTTAACGTTTTCCAAAATATCGGATGGTGCCGATATCTGTTAAACCCCGATCCGATCCTTTTACTAAAATGTAATTCTTAAAACTTTTGAGTAATGAAACTTTGAATTATTATTACATCATATTTATTATTTTTTTAATATAAATTTTTTTTAAAAATTTTAAAAAAATATATTTAAAAAAATAATAAATTTTTCCGAGTTTCAAATGAGTTTCTATTTCACATTAATAATATTTTCTAAATAATTTTTTTTTTAAACAATGCAAATGTTATTTATTTCTTTAAATAGATTTAAAAGTTTTTTTATAAAAATAGAAAGGAACACCCAAAGTTTTATTTATTTTTAAAACTTTAAAAAAATAACACCAATTTTATATTTATACTTTAAATAAAGGAATTATTTTAAATATGGTTTCTGAATTATGGAAATATTTTGATAAAGATAAAGAGAATTTTGCAAAATGCGTTATCTGCGGAATCCTAATTTCACGGGGAGAAATAATGAAAAATTCATTTAATACAACAAATATTCGGAAACATTTAAAGCGATTCCATCAAACGGAATTCGAAGAGCTAATACAAAAAGAACGAGAAATATTAAAAAAACAAATCAAATTTTTAGAAAAAGAGTCCCGAAAGTCAGCCAACAATATCAGCCATTCTTAATAAAACTAATATTTGGAAATATTATGATCCTTTGCATGAAAATCTAGAAGCTCTTATATTAATTTTAAAAAATCTAATATAGGGGAGACCGGGGCGATATTGTCTATAAAAAAATTGAGAGGCTGTGAAAAGTAGGAGAAGTAACTTATCAAAATGATTTTAATGTTATTTTATTCTTTATATAATTATCTACGGTAGAAATTAATATCTAATAAAAAAATATAATATTTTTTTAAATTTAAATTAAAAAAATGAAAATTTAAATTTTATGAAAAACACCTGGGGTAGCTATTATCCTTTCACGTTGCTTGTCATAGCGCTTCTTTATTTTTAGATTTTTAAAAAATTTTTATATAAAAGTGTTGATTCTAAGTAAATAAATAAAAATAAATTGTTAAATTTATTAGGGTTCATCTATATCACATATGTCATCCGGAAGTACTTGTCACTTAAATCTGTTATATAATTATAAAAAATAATTCAATCATCTTCATATTGTCACTAGTGGTCCTAGAATTTTATAAATTTAGTTGATATTTTTTTTCAAAATAATCCCTGCTTAAAAATGGCTAATACGCACCTCGCCAAAACCTGCCCCAGCTCTTAACAATTAATTAAAATATAATTTTAAGATATTAAATTACCATAAATTGTGTCAATATTTTTATATATGATAAAATGGAGATTTTTTTTATCATTTAGAATTAATATTAAGTCCAAACAACGTTTATTAAAAAAGTTATTAGTGAAAATGTAACATTTTAAAAAGTTACTTTGGGTATGTTGAAATTTAAATTTGCATTTAAAATTTTTCATGAGCATTTGTCCGAAACATTTTTGGACCTACTTATGCACCTTATTAAAATACATATTTGGCTTAAATTTCAAATCTTAAACTTTATTAATTTTTAAATTATTTGAGAAGGTAATACCTACCCCGGGAACACATTAACCCCGGTCTCCCCTATTATTATTTTATATGTTAAATATTACAATTTATAAACCAACATAAAATGGATATATTATTATATTTATTTTATCTATTATAATATAGGTGAAATGTGCCATGAATGGCCATGTTTTTGCCTTTTTGAAAAAAGGGTATTAAAATTTATGTTTAACAAACAAATTTTATTAATCAATCAAAGCTCTATGTATAATACTTTATGAGCTAAATGAGATTATGTGAAAGTTGTTTTTCTGGCCAGTCAATACATACTATGTATACTATGTATTGACTGGCCATATACTATGTGTTGGTCATAATATATTATTTAAGAATTTTATTATAAATATGAAATACTTGTTATGTTAATGTTTCTACATTTTTTAGTTATATAAAAAATTAATTATGCACTAATTTAATTAGTATTAAAATCTAATTTATTACCACATTTATAATGATAATATTATAAATTAATATCTTAATTATTATTTTACTAAACATTCTTAAGCTTGTTCATCATTTTATTACACCAAATGTTGATTTAAAAGGGCTTTTCATTTTAATATGTGAATGTGCGAATTGTGGCCAATCAATACATGGACAGTCAATACTCACCTCTCTATTATTATTAAGCGCTTTTAAATGTCTATTAAATAAAGCTTTTAAAGTCTAATTTTTTGTGTGAATAATGCTAAATGCCTAAGGATAATATTTATATAAAATATCAGTAATCTAAATTAGTAATATTTTCACCAAACAAAAAAATGTATAACGTGATTTTTCCAGAAAGAGGTAGTAAAAACAGTTTATTTGAAATATTTTTTTATTGAATTGCTCTATTCAATAAATGAACTTATGTAAGGTACATATCATAAATATAAACATTTTGACCAATTTTGAGAGAAATTGGTCCAATAAATAAAAAGTTAAAGGGTGGTGGCCAGTCTTCACACATGGCCATTTATGGCACATTTCCCCTAATTTTTTTAAAATTATTGTTGAAATAAAAAAATTAAATTAAATGCATAATTCTTTTGCGTAAAAAAATATTGAAATTACATTTGGTTCAAAGAGGGGTGGTGCAAAATCAATATAAATATCGGATCGGTTTTGAATCAATATCGGAAAATATCGGATCGGATCGGGAAAAATATGTGGATCGGGACAGCTCTAAAAATTACTATTAATTTTTATACTATAGTATGAAAATATTATATATGTTTTTTATACCCTTAATGGTTGCAGATATGCTAAATTTTCTATTTAGGATTTTTTTGCCTGATTTTCTTAACTCTTTAAAGTCCTGCGAGCTAATTTGACATCATCATATTGCATGTTATTTTTTAACGTTTAAAACCGCTAAATGATTTAATTTAGCATTTTAAAATAAATATTATCATGTAACTTTTGACTATGATTTTTTCAAAATTACTTAATTTTACCTGTTATTTATATATATTTTAATTGAAGAATTCTGAAAACTGTTTATTTAATAAAGAAGACAAAATAATCTAGTATGTCATCATGAATTTATATTTTATGATCCCAAATTAATTCATTGGGAATTTAATAAATTATTTTATTAAAAATGAATTTATATATTTTATTTTTATAGATGTCAAATAAAATAATTATAATTGAAGTTGATATTTCGGAAACAGATATTGATGATAGTGAGGATAATTATAATCATCCAATTGATAATATGGATATAGATTAGCCCACAAATGCACTCCACATAGAACTTGATAATATTCATGAAGGACCTAGTATTCCTAATCTCAATAGTAATTGGGTAATAATATTGAATTATTTGATACATTTTTTTTAAAAATTTCTAATCCTCCAAATATTATTCCAATACCATATTAAATTTTAAAATGTTTTTGGATGATGATATTATAGATAATATTGTTGAAGAATCAAATTATTTTGCGTTCAAAAAGGTGATAAGACTTAAAGAAATAGTTAACGGCTCATTTTGAGCCGATTTTTTAAAACGGCTAACTCAATATTTTAGCCAGAAAATTATAGCCTAAGCCTCGAGATTTAGATAATATATGCCTAGACCTTTGTTCCTTCTATGAGCAAAATCTTGAGGCTTGCGTAATATTTTTCTTGACGAAATATTGAGTTAGCCGTTTTTAAAAATCGGCTCAAAACGAGCCATTTAACAACACTAATTGGTACCATACGATCCAATCGAATAAAAGGTTGCAATTTGAAAAGCGATCGCGATCTCAAGAAAAAGGGGAGAGGTAGTTTCGACTACAAAAGTGGCACTAATAATAATACAATAATTATCATATTGACAACAAATTTGTTCATGTTATATCATCTTTGAATGGTATAAACCCAATATAAGATGTGAGGCGATGGTTCTTGACGGAAAAAAAAATTTATTCAGATCTCTAGGCCTTGTATTTAAAAAAAATATAATAAAGGAATGGGAGGGGTAGATTTACACGATATGCTAATGGAATGCTAGTGTAGATATCAAAGGTATAAGGTTAATGAAACTCCTAAAAAATAAAAAGGATCTAGGTTACCAAATGATAATATCAGTCGTTAAACACAGAAGCTTCCAACAGTCAAAAATGTGTAAGCTGTGTTAGCGCATATTCAAAAACTAAGTGTGAAAAATGTGAAATTTATTTATGCTTTAACCAGGATAGAAATTGTTTTAAAACATTTCATAATAAATAAATAAATACTTTTTATATATGCATTGAGCTCAATGTCAATTTTAACATGATTTTTTTTTACCTGTGTATTATGAAGCAAAAATTTTACATCTTTGGTTATAAATGAAGATTTTTTATAAAAAATTTTTTGTATTTAAAAAAGTCGAGCTTTGAAGGGTTAAAATAAATTTGGACCTTAAAATAGAATTTGAAAAAAAGCATTTTTATCGCCAAAGAAAGGCAGACTTATTATGTTAGATTTACTTAGAAACTATTTACATGTCAATGTAATACTGGATTAAGATTTAAACTGTAATATGGAATGTAAACTACTTCGTAGTATATATTTTTTTTAATTTAGAAGAATATTTTTAAGCTCAGCTTTGCGTTTGATGAGACTAAATTATCAAACCATCATTCATCTTATCTAATACCAATAAGCAATATTTAAACAATCATATTAAGTAATATTAAAAATGGTATATATAATTACTTCTCATTGAACTTCAATAAACGTGGGTTAAATACTTCGTTAATATTTTGAATTGAATCGGTATGATTAAAGGCTGAATAATATAGAAGGACATCATGTAATTGAGGTTGTTTATTTTCTGTCATTTATAAATATAAAGGCCAGGAATTAATTTTACACTGGAAAATACTTTTTTAAATTGGCCATCAAAGTATAAGTAAATACTCTTATCTTTACTATTCGTAGGACCGTGCTAGAACATTTGGTGGCCCGGGGCAAAAATAAATTTGGTTGTTCTATAAGAACTTCTAATTACATTTTGTTCTAAAAAATCATCAAATAACATACTAGATTTTCCTTATTATAATGAAATTTAAAGTAAAAATATCTATCAAGTAATATTTATGCAATATATTTTAAGTACAATAAAGCTAATTTGCAAAAAAATGACTTTAGTAAACATTTTTTAAATTACAATTCACTTTTAAATGACAAGAAATATAACTATATGCCCCTTAAATAATATAATTTTATTGCCAAGGCCATTGTCCCATCGGTTGGCCCATTTGCACGGGTCTAAGTATCCATCTATATACTGTTAACATTTATTAGTTTTTTCAATTAGGAATATTAAATTTAAACATGGAATAATAAAGGATATTTGTTTTTTTATTGCAATGAAATTATTTTTCTAGAAGAGAAAAAAATTGTTTTGAAAAGCGAATCTATAGAAGGTTTGGAAAAACATTTTTTAGAAAAAAATCGTTTTGATATAAGAAGTTTTTGGAAAAATATTTTTTGGAGGAAAAAAAATGGTTTTGAATAACTAAAAAATAGGAAAAGGTGGGTCTAGGCTATATTAAGGGTAAAGGGATTGTGGAATTTGGGCGTAAAGTAATTGTGGAATTTGCCGTAAATAGGGGAGACCGAGATAAAGAGATTGACGAGGTAACAATATTGCAAACAACTTTTTAACCCTTGACAAAGATTTTTAATTTAGGGTGAAGATGTATTTTTATATCTAATTTCTTACCTAAGTTCATTTTTAAAAAAACTTACCTGGGTTTTATATATTTTGCCAAAAAACAATTTTTCACATAAAAATTATAAAAATCATTCTCTAGTATATTTTGCTTTTAGAAAAATATACATATCCTCAGGGTCAGGATTTAAAATTAAGCGCACATGTAATAATTTTATTGAAGACAAAATATAATTTTTATAAAATTTTAATTTATATAAATATTATAGTGACCAAATCATTTTATTTATTTTAAAATAGGATATATACACTAAATAATAATATATACATTAAAAAACAAATAAGGATATATTAAAAATTAATTTAAAAAATATACATATGTATAAAAAAGAACTGAGAAAAATGATTGCCTAGTGTATTGGTAACGATTGTTATGGTTGGTGAGGCCAGCATATTATTTTTTTTAGGATTTCAGCCTTTTCAATGGCAGAAAATGAGAGGCTGGACTTTGCTGCAAAATAGACAGGTATAGTCCCAAACGAGCGGGAGACCATTAGTCCAGGGAATGTAGGACATCCCATCAGGACGTATGGCGTTTTCATTAGAGCCCACTGGTTCGAGGGTGGATGGAATATTATCTTTTTGAGGGCAGCTGGGATAATGTTGTTGATTGATTTTTGACACGGTTGCGTCTATGGGAGAATTTGCAGTGCAAGGGATGGTAAGCTTTCGATTCAATAGAATGGCCACAGTCGATACAAATGGAGGGAACCATAGCATTACAGCCAAGGCGGAGGGCTATGGAAATGCGTAGCTGTTTACCAGTCAAGAGGAGGCCAAGATTGGAACTAGGATGGCTTCCAACAATTCGTAACCTGAGTTTGCATATAACACTAAATTATTGGGATTGTCTTCAAAGGGCCTGTTCGAAATTAGGTATTCAACTGAAAGGGCGATCAGAGGAGCATCCCAGTCTTTTTGAATGCTGGAGGTAGGACGACAAAGAGTGGATGGACAATTGCTGTCCCACAAGGTGAAGGCCTGAGAAAGGTCAGTATCTAAAGGAGTGGATCCATCATCGAGATTGAACAGCCAGACGTTTTTTTATAAAATTGGCTTTAAAAACTAGCCTCAGTTTAAATTCTCATACAATATAATAGAATAAAATTTTTTTATTGAAAATACTAATTGTACTGTGCATAAAATATTAAAGCAAGTTTTTATAACTTCTTATCAAATACAATATTATACAAGAAATTTATTAAATATTATAATTATAATTCGATTTTTAATTTTCGTAGGAAATTTGCCAATTCATCAATTTCGTTTGTCGTTGGAACCAAATTTCTGTGGATATTTAACAGAGCTAACCTATTTAGCCCAGATTCGGAAGTAGTATTTCGTAAATAAGTTTTCAACCTTCTCAAGTTGGAAAAGGTCCTTTCATTCGTACATGTTGTAATAGGCAAATATGCAAGAATATAAAACAACACCATAATATTTGAAAATTGAGCCAAGATTTCCTTACATCGATTGAGCGCATCATTAACATGCTGTAAAATAGCCAAACGTAGTAAATATTTATACCACAATTCGAATTGACTGATTGAATTGATTTTAATATCAATATCATGGGAATAAAATTTTGCTAAATATTTAATTTTACCAATAGTGGCATCAAAAAATGAAGGGTTTTTAGGTAATATGAAGATAAAGGCTTATTTTTATCTAAAAACCGTACTTTAATTTGTGATAAAAAAGTATTTAAGAATGGGATGAAAATGTATATTTTACAGTTGAGTCAACATTTACATTTCATCAATTGCCTAAGTGCTAGACCAGGTTTAATTAGTGTTATATCATAAGATTTAGCTTTCGATTCAACGTCTAAATAAATATTATAATAATATTCATCTACATTCATTTTTATTTACCTGTTCATATACATTTTCCGCCAAATCAATAACCTGAACCAAATCTAAATTTGGATTTTGTAAATTTCTACAAAGTAGTGAGCTGTAGGAAAATAATTTATTAATGCAAATAACTGTAAAGATAAACTCTGATTGATATTGCTAAAATTTTACGAAAGGGGGGGGGGGTGGCTGGTAAAATTTTTATTAGCTTAAGATATTTATGAAAACAGTCATATTTGCGATGGGAATGAAATTTCCCCTTCTCGCCCCCTCCATTGGTTACGTGCCTGAATAGAACTCTTAAGAGATTTCCACTCATGATTGATCCGAAGCCTCTGGTCTTCTATCTCAATGGGCTTATATCAATTATATCAAATTGTATTTTAATTTATGAAATATTTAATAAAGATATACTAAATAAATATCTACAGTCTTTATGTACTAATATAGTGGCTGCTAAAAATTGTGATTTAACCATTAATATATTTAAAAAATAAGAGAAGTGATACTCTGTTGATTTGATAAGAATTAAGGCTGAGAAACCTATATCAAAATTTTAACTCATCCCTCAAAAATCATCAGGATACGTAACGCCTATAAATCTTCAGGATTGTTTTGTCGATACCAAATTGCAATTTGATTATGAAAAATACTTCAATAATAATTACATAAAAATAATTATTATGTAATTATTGATCACTTTGTAGATCGTTTTTAGATAGAATCACACAAAATGATTATAATCTTCTATCATGTTTGAGTACAATGTCCCGGATAATTTGATATCAGATAAAATGACCCATTAGAATCATTATCAAACTTTATGGAAGCAATACATCATATGAAATGAAAACAGCAATGATTATTAACTGCAGAAGTTAAAGAAGCATAATTTTGAAAATATCGTAAATATTATGTATAAAAAAGTATTATCTTGCATTTAAAGAATTGTATACAGGCGCGTATGCAGCGGGGGGGGGGGCAGGGGGACAAATCCCCCCCCCCAAAGCCAAAAAATGCAGATGCCGGATTATATTTTTCAAAAATATTATTGTTAATATTAATTTATATTTGTTAATATTTATTCTTATCTCATATATACACATATATATATATATGTATATATATATTTTATTTATCACTTTCATCTACTAAGTTATTTTATCAATCAATTTCGATTTCAAGTTTTCCTTGACGTAATTTACCTATTATTTTCAAATTTTAGTGACGTAATATTTATCTAAATTTCTAATAAAATAATAATTATCTCTGAAACTCCTTGTCCAACAGGGAGAAAAAAATTGCAAGCTTGTCCAACGAGATCGAGTCTCCGCCACAGTAACAGCTATTTTGGAGTTAGAAGAGCTGATTATTAATGCTATTACTGAAATATCACAATGGCTTGAAAGAAATATTTCCTCAGAAGCAAAAAAATTATTGGATTCAATACTTATTCCAAATTTTTTTTCTCATTAGAATGTATTATTTAATTATACAACTATTTTATGTAATACTTTTAAAAAGATAACATTGACTTGATTAAGAAGATGAGAATAGCGGAGAGCATTTTATTAGAACTCAAGGAAATAGAGCTAGTGTTGTTGAAGAATTTCATATTTTATATGTTATTGTTGAGTCAAAAGCGCTATACGTGTTAAATATTTGTCCCCCTCGACTTGCAGCAAGTAAGCTCATCATCAAAACATTAATATAGGATCAGTATAAGAGTATTATAAAACAAATGTCCCCTCTCCCAACCTTTTTCATATGGTGATAGAAAAAAAATATAAATATTTGTTATATTTTTATCATGAAGATGTTAAAATATCTTATGATGCCTTATTAGCTGAATAACTATGATTAAAAGATTAACTATGGTTGATACAGTCCCAAAAAATGCTATGGATGCTTTTTATTTCAAACACATTTTAGATTATACTCCCAATTATTAAAATGGTTATATATATATTAGCAGCTCTTTAGTAAACTAATGAGAGAACATTCACTTTTTTAAGAAGAATAACAGAGCCTTGCAGTACCATTTGCAGGACCAGGCCCACATTTTATTTTAAAATTTTTTCCGGCCCGGGTTTTTTTAAAAAAATTTTCAGGCCCGGCCCGGCTGGCTTAGCCCGAATTTTTTAAAATAAATTATATTTATTTTTGATATTTATAGCTAATAATGGCGATTTCAAATATTTGGTTTTAAAATATACAACTCGGCTCGGATATTTTTTCTTAAAAAATTTTCAGGCCCAGCCCGGGTGTTTTTAAAAAAAAAATTACGAGCCCGGCCCGGGTATATTTAAAAAAATTAAAATACGGTCCGGCTCAGGGGCCGGGCCTGCAAGTCTGTGAAAAACATACCTATGAAATACAACATCTGAAAGTAGATTGAATGATTTGGATCTTTTGAATATTCATAGACATTTAACGCCAAGCAAGGATTGATAATTGAAAAATTAGCTTAAAACATACAAAATACAATTATTCCTAAGAAACTTTTTGTGTATTAATTTATATTTACAACATTTAAATTTTTTATACTTTATATATTTTAAAAGCTCAAAAAATTCAAATTTCAATTTTGGGTCATTTAGGTGATTCATATCGTGGGTTATATTCACTTTATATTTTATGATTCACATTTAAATGCCGGTTTATATATATAATTTTTTTAATTCACATTAGTTTAAAATTGTGTATTAGAAAAGTTATTAATCCTAATAAATTTATGCTTAGAATTTTTAATTAAAAATATTATTTCTTAAAAAAATTTATTATCCCCCCCAGACCAAATTATTGCGTACGCGCCTGATTGTATAAATGCAACTCTACAGCAATCATCATGTAACAACGGCTGCTTATAAATTTTCATTATATACTAAAGAGAGTTCTATCGAGCACTAGAGAATCAATGAAAGATCGAAGTGAACAAAATATATTATTCATGGCTTATGGGAAAAAATAATATATAATTTAGTTCTTAATTCATTATATTAAAATTTTTTAGAAAAAATCGTCGTTTCAAATTTTTAATAAAAATAGTGTCCCATCACCTGCTAAAATATTCTGGCTACGGCCCTGGCCACATCTCCTAAATCTGAGCTCAAATTTTTAAAAGGCTATGCCGAAAACTTTTTTTTAAATCCGGAACCAGTCGTCAAATGGTACCTCTGCAGGTCTCTGATAATTATATTTTATTATTTAGATATCGTTTGTTATTATTGTTAAAATTTATTTTAATTTAAAAAGGTACATTATAACCAAATGATTAATTTATTTAAGCAACTGTAGTGAAATAATTTGATATGCAAAAAATATTAATAAAAAAAATTTGATTGCTAAAGAGAAATAAAAATTAAGTGAAATTTAAGAAATAAAAATTAGGAAAAAGAATCATAAAAGTCAAAAAAAGGAAAAGAATTGTTAAAAATGACATAAGAATAGAAAAGTGAAGAAGAATGACGGGAAAAATAAATAAATAATTTTTTTTAAATCAAAAAAGAATGATTAAGAATGAGAAGGAAGAATAGAGAATAAAAATGACTTAAAGAGATCGTAAAAGTTAGAAATAAAATAAGTACGAAAATAAAAAAACTAAAAATTTAAGAATAAGTAACAAGAATTTTATCCTTTTTGGATTGACACTTTTCCTTTTTTGATTGACATATTTCCTTTGTTTGAACCTTTTCTTTTTTTATTTGACACTTTTTTTGGATGGAATTTTTTCTAAGACTTTTTTTCCATTTTTGAAACTTTTCTTTTTTTTATCGAACCCTTTCCTTTTTTGATTCCTTTTTTGATTGGGACCTTTCCTATTTTGAATGGGAAATCCGGTAATGACAATTTTTTTAAAATATTTATATTAGTAAATTTAAAAAGATAACATTTAAATATTCAAAAACATAATTGTAGCAGAACCAATATTAATATATTAGTCACTATATTATTTCCATAAAATAAAAAAAATAGAAAATATACGAGCCGACAATTTAAGTCTTAAAATATTTTTAAGTAAAAAAAGAGTCCCTTTTCGGGTAAAGAGAGTATATTGTCAAGATTGGGGGCGATGGGGAGACACAAGATCATTATTGAAATTGAAAGTGGTGTAGGTAATTATGAAAAATCTTCATTTGAATAAAATTACAAAGTAGGGGAATGGGGTTTGGTGTAGGGAATAAAAAAAGAGGCTTTATATTTGAAAGGAGGTAAATCATTATTAACTTAGGGCGTATAGAAGTTACTGTGTATTGTGAGTGATATATTTAATATTATAAAATCTAACCATTGATTGATACATATTTAAGACATTCATTCTGAAGGTGTTTGTTGACAAAAAGTTTGTGAATGTCTGGCAAACAAGTGTAAACATTGCTGTACTAAACAAATAAAGATATTTAGTTTTAAAATCAAATATGACAAAAAAATTTATATTTATTTTATAGTGAAGATATTTAACCCGATTTTGCACCAAAAACAGCTTCGTTTTATAAACCTAGCAAATTTTTTTTATTTAATATAATTCTTTACCATTTTTTTTATTCACTTTTATAATATTTACCTCTATTTCCTTTTTACTTTAAAAAGCTTGATTTATATGAAAGACTAAAGCGAAATATGGGGCACAACGGGACCCAAATTTTATTGTCTAATATAAAAGTAGTTAAATTCAATTGCACTATAGATAATTATTATATGAATGAATGATAATGATATTTTGTGTCTTCATCTGCCAATTATAATTTTATAAAGATGTTGTTACTAAAAAAATTGAGCGAATTTTTTTCTTAACATATATTCGTTTAGATTTCTCAAAATTAAACATAATAAATTTTATCAAATCCAAGATTGCTCCTCTATCAAATAACAACTACTCTGCTTCAATAAAAAAAACGCATATCTTGATTTTTCCAAACGTAGTTATAAATAAATGTTAAATTTTTTTAAAGAGCCATTAATACATTAGAGTGCAATACAAATACAGAAACTTTAAAACATTTATTTTTCCAGCCATTTCAGAATTATGGCAAGATTAAATAATAAGTCATGATTTAATTAAAAACGATCACATAAAATCTAAAGAAGTAATGACATTTCTAGCACATAGGTCTTTATTAAATTGCTACTACTCTACCTCCACCTTCCTCTGGCACTATATTATATATATTCATATTCTAAAAAAAATACTTATAAATATATAAAATACACTTATCCAGGTTTATCGCACTTAGACTTCCCCAAATTTCTTTATTTTTAAGATGTTTTTCTTCTTGAAGTTTCGATTTGAAAAAAATTGAACATGGAAGATTCAATCGACGTTGAGATCGTGATTTATGAGTTGGGTAAAGAGTCCTGACAGGATAAAAACACCGATAGATTATATCAGGCGAGTAAAAATGCAGCAATTTGTCAGATACAAGACCATATTTATCAGCATCCCTGGGATTTTTATGTATGTTGGAAAAAATCAGTCCATCTTTAACCAAATTGGATATTGGCGGAAAAGTCATATTAAAATTATTCCATTCTCTTTCACAAAGTACCAGCCTTAAGATCAGTAGCAAATAAAGGATCTTGCAATATTTAAAAAAAATCATTTTATTTCTATTAGATTAGAATTCTATCAAGATATTAAAAAAAGGTTAGAGTATCTTATGACGCTGTTTGTAGTAAAAATATATTGTAACTAAATGGTTTGAGAGTCGTTGGATATGTATGCTATAAGGTTTGAAAATGAACTAATAGAAATTTAGATAATTGAGAAAAGGCACATATTTATATAAGTTTTTAATGTTATTGAGAAGAACAATCAAATAGTGGGGGGGGGGCGGAGGTGAGTGATAATCTATATGCAGTGGTACCAAAAAAATGTAATATGCGAATGTTTCATCATAAAATTGATTTTACAGCTCTTATTTGCATAGATTAAGTAAAAGCGCGATATGAAACTTCTAGATTAAATATCAATCATCCCAAATCTTCCAGTGATAGTAAAAACGAGATTCCAGGGTCAAAGATGTGAGAGCAATATCTCATGCTGCCGCAAGGCTATAGGAGGTCTTACACCTACCAATACAGGCAATTAAAATTCGAGTCAAATGACAGATTGAGAATATTTATAAAATGTTTTAAAAAAATCTGTTTTTATAATTTTTATAAAAACTAAATTATATCATACTAAGTTATTCTCCAAATTTATTTAAGTATCTAAATACAAAAATGTGGTATTTGTATCTACATATAGATATATTTTAGAGGCTTTATCTATCTTTAGCTACATTTTGATATAATTTTATTTTACATTTTTTTTATATTAAAAAAATTATATTTTAACTAATTCATTAATATTATAAAAACAAATCGGAGAAATATTTTATACAATTTAAAATTCATTCTTATTTCAAACTTGATTAGACTTAATACAAATGGACGAAAATTAAAAATAATTATTTGATGAAATATCAAGTTTATAACTAATTGTAGATAACCTCTGAAAAAATCAAATAATTAATTTGACAGCATTCCATAGAGGATATGATTATGTATATAATGATAAAATTTTTTACTCTTTCAAATGATATTTTTTTTAAATGAGTGTCAGGATTTCAGTATATATAAAGATTATCCCAATATAAAATTGTTATTCAAAAATTATAATAATAAACTTTCGTCAAGTAGGGAAGACCGGGGTGCATTTTGAAAATTTACCATAAAAATTTTAAACAAGAGTCAAACACAACAATTTACAGATCAATGTGTAGCCCCATCCCTCATCTACAAGATAAAATAGTGTAGCCCTCTACCTATAATATTTTAGGAGCTATGATTAGTTATGTCAAACTATTCATTTTCGCCATTTTACCCTGGGTACAGGGTAAATGGGTAAGCAGGTTAAAATAATATTTGATATATATTTGTTTTATTTAACAAATATTATAAATTTAAGATATATTTATGATTTTTATTTACAAACTAATCAATACAATAAGGACATGTAAAGTAATTATCATAATTAGCACATTTAGAATGCGCCCATTCAAGGCACATTGTCAATTTAAATACAAATAAATTTAATTACTTGTTTAGGCTTTAATCCCATAAATGACCTACTTGCTTCTGATATGTAGTCACATAATCTAGATTCTCTTCATTTGAAAATATTTATTTATGGTGATCTGAACTTTTAATACCATTTTTATATCTTCTTCTCAACGTTGGATATGGTATTTTATATTTCTTAGCAGACAAATTCAATGAAGTATTATTTGTTATTTTATGGCTATATCTATTATATTTACATCTCTGAATATTGTTTCTCTTTTATAATATCTCATTATTTGATTGATGCAATAAAAATTATAATAAATGAATGAAAAATTTAATGTGAATAATTATATATTTTAACCGTTTTACCCATAACAGCTTTACCCCAAGGTAACATATATTATAAAAACCGTTATTACGTGACTTCTAGTATAGCTATCGATGTCAAATAAATTTTATTTTATGCTAATACATTAAGGAACAAGTGTGCCAAATTTTGAATCCTAAGGTTAGAGAATAATTTTTATATTTTTTGGATAAAAAACAGTTTTTTGACAAAATATAAAAACCAGGTAAGTTTTTTAAAAAATGAACATAGGTAGGAAATTAGATATAAAAATATATCTTCACACCAAATTTAAAATCTTTGTGCTTAAGGGTAAAAAGTTAACATTGTTACCCCGTCAATCGCTTTACCCCGGTCATTCCTACCCCGCTAGAAAGATTTTTAGTGTGGTTTACAGATAAACGGATATGCCTTAATGGTGAAAATCTTGATAATGTCCTAAGGATTATTTTATATATGTATCAATAAAATCAAATATTTATTATTTATTAAATATTTTATATATGTATTATTAAAATCTAACAATTATTGTTTATTATTTAATTATGTATTTACACTTCCTAATGAACTGATATCTTTGTTGATCTAGCAATAAATCTCTGTCAATTTTAAAACAATTCAATAAAATTCCTAGATCAATGATTTCTGCAATTTTTATCAAAATCAATAAGGTCCAAAGTAATGAACATTCGAAGTTGGACAAAATTCGAATTTTCCAACATGTAAAAATTTATTATTTATTAAACTTTATAATTTGACAAAAACATGAAAACATCAACATTTAAAATTAATTTGAGTCAAATGGCCATTAGCTTGATACATGTTTTGAGAATCTACCTATTCATTGATTGCATAATCAACAATTCCTTGATCTAATCGATTCCATTTTTCTACAAGTTGCTGTTTGGGATGGTCAACGCGTATGTGGGCTTGACTGCAACGTGCACCCTAGCATTTTGCAGATTTACTGGTGGAGTTACTATAAATAGCTTTTTATTATGAACCATATGAAATGAACTAACCTCTGAAGGTATTAAAAGGTTGTTTCCTACCATATGTGCAATCGTATTCGCATCAGCTAGGTTTTAATTAGGTTCCTTTTTTAAGCATTTCAGTTGTAGCACTTTGTGGATAATCCGATTAACTAAAGTTTGCGGTATACCCATTTATCGGGATACTTGAATTCTTCTATGGGTGCCAGGTAGGTTTTCTTGGCTCAGTACTAGTGTTTTAATAGAAAATTCTCCATAGTACATGGGGTGTGAACTACCACCACCATACCGTTTTTCTCCGATGCGACATCAGTTTCTTTTAGGAAATACTTTCAAAAAATTTTTGGCTCCATAATGTTTTTCTGGTCTTAAATTTTTTAATTCAAGTCATCTTTACTGAAAACATTTTTTTTAATATCGACTGCTTTAAATGTAAGTTTAATAAAATATATATATTCACATTTTTGAGAGTTCGAATTTTTTTTGTCCAACTTTGAATATACATAACTTTGGACCCTGCTGATAGAATTTAATGAAATTTGCAAAAACATTTATAATATATCCCTCTCACAATCTATAAAATCTTATTGAATATTTTTTACAATTGACAAATTTATTGTTAAAAAAAATATAGCAATTGAAACACAGTGTAGATGAGATATCAACTCAATAAATTTTTTAGCTCAATTAGAAATTTGAATAACAAATAATTCCATACCTAATAGATAACTTTTTGGCCCGATCTTTTAATTTCGGAATTGAGAGAACATCATTAGAAAGGATCGAATTCAAAATTTTAGCATCCTAATGTCTAAAGTGCCAAAGATGTCTAACGTCTTTTATTATTAAGGATTTTTTAAAATAATAATGTTGCAATTTTTATTTTTTTCGCTTTCCGAATTTCTTTGAATTTAATATTTTAGTATTCACTTACATTATAACTAATATGTAAAAAAATTTAGATTTGGGACAACTACGGATTTTTTAGTTGTGATAT